TTACAACCCTCATGGTTAAAAAAAATCCTTTTATGCAAATGGAATATTGTGTGTCTCTTTCCTGTTGTCCTCTGACTGTACCTTCAAGAGGAGTCTGGCTCTGTCATCTCTCTCTACCTTCCCATTAGGTAGCTGCAGATAGCAGTGGGATCTCCCTTTAGCTTTCACCTTAGGCTGAGCTATCCAAGATCTCCTAGATTTTTCTCATACATCATATGCTGTAGCCCCTAAACCATCACGATGGCCCTCCTTTAGACTTAGTCCAATATATCAGTACCTTTCTTGTGCTGAGAAGCCTGGTCAGCATTTTCAACTTGGTATTCAACAGGATGTCCACCTTATCATCTGCTCGTTCAGACCCCATCTGCATAATCTGGCTACAAAAATGCTATGGGAGACTGTCAGAAGCCTTGTTTTACTAATATGCAATGTCTGCTGCTATCTCCATGTCCACAGAGCCAGCCATCTCATGACAGAAAGCAAACAGGTTGGTCAGACATAATTTGTCCTTGGTAAATAAATCTATGTTGTGTGCTTGGAACTACCCTCTTATTCTTTATATGTCTGGAAATTGCTTCCAGGAGGGTTTGTGTCATAATTTTCCTGGAGACTGGAGTGAAGCTAACCAGCCTGTTGTTCTCCTTATCCTCCTCCTTGCCATTCTGGAATGTGGATATGGAGGTTACTAAAATAATCCATATCCAAGCAGTCAGTCTGCACTAGTTTTGACAAAGCAGGTGCTTGAGAGTTTTAAGACAGAGTAAAACACTGTTGTGGCCACAAAGCAGCTTTTGGCACAGTTCCTTCTTTCTGAAGAAACATGAGTTTGTAAAGAGAAAATGCCTTACAGAGCTTTTCTATGGAATTTGCATGAAGCAGTCATCACAGAAACAGTCCCTGTAGCAGGAACCTGAACATGAATTTCCTTCTTTCCCCTAGGAACACTCCTAGTAAGTATGAACTGTTGTGTATACACTTCTTTTCCCTTTTGCAGGGCTATTGGATCTTCAGTTCTTTCCTGCAGCATAGCTTTATCGGGCAGAAGCGAGTATGTTGACTTTGACACGCTATCATCTGGTTGTTAAGGCACTCCAAAGAGTGATAAGTGATGTTGGTTTTCATCTCTTTGGTCTGAGGAGGTTTTCGGCCCACATCTCTTGCTTTCTGAGCTGTTACACAGGCAGCTGCCAGATGGTAGGTAGTGCTCCACCTACAGATACTGTAATGTTTTGGGAAAAGCTGAATTCAGTCAGGATGTGTTAAGATCTCTAAGGAACCAGATGTTCGCTCCTGTCAAGATGGCATCAGTTTGGGCACATTAAATGTCGAGGACAACTTTATAGGTAATAATGTAAGTACCTATGTCTAATGTTTTAAGAGATTACACATATTTTTGTGGCTCATATGCTAGGACCTAAGTGCTTGAATCCTGCCTGAATTACGTTCTCTTGCAGATATGGGCCTGTGTCTTCATGAAATGCTTTGACATTGTGTCTGCAGACAGAACGTCCACGTTGTTTTTCAGCAACACATTTGATAGGAAGGTCTCCCTAGTTGGATCTGTATTTTCTCAGCTGTTCAATTTCTGTCTAGGAGCCTCTAAGTTCTCATTTTGATAGTAAGATTTTTATCTGAAGATTTTAAATCAACCCAGGTAATTATTCCCCAGAGACTTTTATCTTCATGGTAACCAGCGTCAAACTGAAACTTGTAAACGTTGGTTAGAACTGGCTGATGTCTAGCACATGTTTGCTTTGTACCTACATGATTACGCTTCTGCTTCTCATTTCGTTGTCAGAGTATTGCTTAACATGTTGATTGGAAGTCCTTCAATTCCCAAGTGCCAAGTGATTATTAGGCACTCACTGTAATTGGAAGAGGACTGGTGGTTAGAACCTTAAAGCAATTGTGTAACTGTACTGTTAAACAGTTCCCAACAATTTTTGGAGGAGAACTAGAGCTTCTTTATTTCCTATCTGAGAGGGCATTTCTCAAAGATATGACTGAACAACGTGGAGCTAACACAAGTGATTAACCTTTTTGTCTTTGGGAATCATGGTGCTGTCAGTACAGATTCAATGTAGTATATAGCAAGGAGGAGCTTGACGGTCTCCATATAAACAGGTGATTTAGCTTTGGGATGTAATATTTGCAATATATACTAATTCAAATGACTTCCTAAGGTGCAAACCCTTTTTCACAAACCAAGACAAGACAGACATTAGTTGACTTGTCTCTTTACAACCTTTCTTTCCTCCCCTGAACTCTTCTTACAGAAAGATATCTTTTCGTAACCCGGGCTCAGCTAAAGGCACTCTGGCATTTTGCCATGTAGCTTGCTGCTAGTATGATCTACAGTTGAGGCTTGTTCATATGCTGATTTTTGTTGTTGTTGTTTGTTCTGTTTGGGGTTTTTTTTTTGGTGTGTGTGTTGTGTGCTTCACCCCCCTCTGTTGATTTGACTTTTGCCTGCCTTAAGCTGTCTTTTTCTCTCTTCGATTGGTAGACAAAGTTCTGTCAGTCCTTTACAGGAATTTTTCCAGCCTTCTGTTTCACTTTGAGATGGAATAATGTAATGGATAATATTACATTGTGTCACATTTTTGTCTGGATGTTCACTGCTTGTGCAGTGTGCTTGCTCATTACAATTACAGGAGTCTCCTTAGTGAAGATGGAAACTTCCACTTTGCACCAAGTTTATGTCTTAAGAAAACGTCTGGTTGTTGGCAGACTGTTTTACAATTCATACTATTCAGATTTCTCATAATACTAATATTTAAGCATTTGGTTAAGCTCGTCTCCCTGTAGTTTCTTCCCACCCCTCATGGCCCGGTATTTTTCTCTTTGAAGCTCTATTTGGGGATGTTTTTTATGTCATTGTTGTTACTTCTGTATTGATCCAAGTCAGTTCTAGTTGTCTTTTTTTAAAACAGTGTAGAAAAATGATGCTAGATTTATTCCAGATATAGGCAGAATTAAATTTGATCTTAATTGGTTTTGAATTAGAACACCTCCCAGGTTCATTTCCAACCTGAATTAGCCTATTATTCTGTCTGTTTGTCTTTCCAAATGAATTTTTTTGTCTTCCCATTTTCCCCTGTGCTACCCAGTGCGTTAAAAGTGAGGTCACTTTCTAGGCATTTGAAGGAATTGTCTAGTGCATGATAATTTGCTGTAGACTCACTTATTTTTCCTCAAACTCTCTTAAGGCATGAGCCCCTTTTTCTACTTTTTGCTAGAAGCATTTCCAATTTCCAATGAAATTACATGGAACAACCCTCTTAGCAGTGGTTTCTTTTAATGATCTCTTAACTTCTGAGATCATGTTTGGAACCTGAACTTTGTCAGGTCTCTGTAATCCTACATGCCAGCTGGGAATGAAGTGGGCTCTTACACTAGAAAGTTATCTTGAATGTATTTTTTAGGGGTGCCTCCCATGATAATTCCCCCACATGTTTACAAGGATGCCTTTATCCAACTGGGTGAATGGAGCGAAGCATTTCTCTCACTGCCCTGCTTCTTGTTTTTGAAGAGGGTGGGGTAGGTAGAGAGACAGAAGGAGGGACAGAGACATTGCTGTGCTAGGTTCATGGTTACCTATGAATTATCTTTGCCCTTCAGAGTAGAATTTATGCCAAATTCTTCACCATTACCTTATTTATTCCCTTTTTTTCCCCTCGAACTATTCCTTGTTAACAGAACTGCCTTAATACCATTTGTATTTCTTAAAATATATGGATTGTGCTAACTTCTGCCTTTGACAATATGACACTGGCAGGAGCTACTTGGATCACTGTCAAACAGTGTGGTGGGTTTTTTGGGGTTTGCTTTTTTTTTTTGAATCAACATATCTGCATGTTCTTATGGTGTGTTTAGTCTAGAAATGTAATGAGAAGCATACTGAGATAAATTAATTAGCTAGATGTTAGAGAAAAATGCTAATAAATTTTATAATGAGACATTTAGAAGAAATATTTAGTATGCAAGTATTTCCTTGAGATTACTTAATTTGCATGGGAGCAAGTCTATAGCTGACATCATCAATCTGCGTATTCCTTCCCTTCATGCTTCAGTTCTGTCTTAATTTGGCTTGTTTTAACTCCACTGCAACAATTTGAGATTGGAAGTGCACTCTTTCATCCGGTTTTACAATTTGGTAAGTAAGTAAGTAAATACATCTCAGTGATTTCAGTTGAGCAGAAATGTAAAACTAATCAGCAGACTCTTGACAGGGTGATTGATACTGTTATGGTGTGGTTTGGGACAGTTATTTTTCACACATACTCCATGCCTTCAAAATTAGTTTACGATTTTTAACACCTATTCTCTGTGTCAGTTCAAGATGTTTACCTACTAGTGTGGCAGGTACTGTATTTATTTAAAATAAAAATATGATATTTAAATACATTTGTTTGTTTTAGGTGTTGATCTTAACTAGAT